CGCTGCCACCAGTGACAGGAAATTACCAGTACAATTGATGTATGTAAGTGTGTGGTTATTAGAAAACGTGACACATGACAGGAACTAGCACTGAAGCTATAACTGTTCAAACAAGCTAAATTTAGGATGTTGCACGCCATCTTGACGTCCCATCGCATCGGCTCAATCCTGAACATTAATGGGAATTATGGATTGTTTTCACATTGTCTGAGTAGGCAATAGAACTTAACTAGTAGGTATGATGCCATCTTTATCACATCAGCTACCTTCTCAAACATTCTTCTGCTCTTCCCAGTGAGGATTTGGCTCAGTAAATTCTTAGGGAGTGTACTGCCTTTATTTTCCCAATCATTATTGTTATCAGGTGCACTACTGCATGGACCAGTGAAGTGTTTCCTAACCTTTTTTTAAAGCACATGACTTATTTAACAACAGAACCATATTAATGTCACTTGAACTCTGAGAAAGTTTTTTTTTTCTCTTGCTCCTTCTGTTTGATTCCAGAGCAGTTTAAGAGTGTAAAGGACAGTGAAATATCCCTCTTGTTCCTTCTGTAAGAGTGTAAAGGACAGTGAAATATCCACCACTTTGTTCTGGATTTAGTTTTGTCAAAGTAAAGCACTTGTATTAAACCTCTTTCATGTCCACTGGGTGAAGGATTTCCCTGGTGGCATATGTCCTTTGCCTCAGGCCAAATAACCATGCACACCACTATCGTAATGATCCCCGATAAAATGACAAGCTGACAGTGAATAAGTGTTGTTTTTTTTTTTAGAATGTATGGAATGTGGAAAGTAAATGCCTTTTCAAGGGTTTTTCGTACTAAGCAGTTTTTATGTCTTGAGGCCTTTTGACTGTGTCATGGGTCTGGTGACATTCCACTGCCAGGGGATTCCCGTGGATGTCCCACGTAACTGTAGGACATGTTCGTAAGCAATAAATATTTCACATTTCTGAAAGACAACTCAACACAAAGTGTGGCTGTGTAGGAATTGTTGTGAAATCCGGATTGTTCATCTCTCCTCTGCAGACATTACAGAGATTTCATGCACTTCACGAAAAGCATTATCGTGCCAGTAAAACTATAGAAGATAAACATGTCAGCTGCTGTGGATGTTAAGGCTAGGTGTGCTTTATGCGTGTGATCAACTCAAATGTTCAGTAATGGATTGCTGGGCTGAGAAAATCACTCATGAATTACTGCTGGTGCAGAGCAGACTAATATGGTATGTAGAATCTTGACTGTGGACATTTTTGGACACCGAAAAACATACTGAAGCTATTGGATTTTAGTTAATAGAGCAGCAGCTGTGCTTTCTATTGTTATCAATTGTTTTCAGAGTTGAAAATTAGACAACATGATACGCAGGGCTTTACTTTATCCCGGCTCGATGCATACCCTGCTCACAAATTACCTGCTGGCACATTCTGTCACCTGGGAAATTCACATTGTAATGGTGTTGCGAATTATATAGTTGAGGAATTCCCTGGATCACTGCATGAGGAATCCAACAATAAGATATTTATAGGTTTGTTTGTGGTCAGCCTGAATACTCCCTGCATTATGTAAAAAGTTAGAAAAGCTGCATCATACGGGTTTTAAGGAGATCAAGCTGATGCCACTTTATTTACCTAAAACCTGTGCATTGACTAATGCCTAATCTGTGTTTTAGTTTTGTCTGTCAGAGTGTTCGGCTTTTGACAAAATGAATGTGTAATGACCCTTGTAATCGGAAAAAAAAAAACGAGTTAATGCTGATGGTGGAGAGTCTTTCAACGTTATAATTAGAAATCAGCTCACAAATTGCCGTCTCTCCGTTGGCGTATTGAAGTGGTGATTTTAATACCAATGTAGGGAGGAGGGTTTAGGAGTATCCATTCCAATTAGATTTGTTATCTGGGAGCACGAGAGACTGTTTCGGTGCAGCTGTCAGCAAACCACCGGCCAAATTTGTGATGCAAATTTGGAAATACTCTATTGTTTTGGTTTTAGCATCAGAAAATGAGAAGTGAGACCTTGCAAATTAAAAAAAAAAAGACTTAACGTTTACATTTTTACTGAAGGTCACTAAGGTTCTGCAATGTGAGCCCACTAGTTTGACTCAAAGTCACAACTTCAAAACAATTGAGTCTACTGAAATATTAACATCTTCCACACTTGGTGTTGCACAGCATGCATGTGGACACGTGGTACAGTTACATTGACTGATCAACCTAAAAGTCCCATTTTACAAATTGGCTCGTCACACAACAGTTGATGTTCCACGGATCATATGTCGTGCACTTACATCAATGTTATTACACAGAATTATTTCTCTGTAATTATTGTCTGCTTACAAATGCAGCCATTAGCACGGCTGTATGTGTAGTGTGGAAATGTAAACACAGGAGTATGACACAGCCTGGTACAGATGGCCATCTGATCAACCACACCTCCATTCACAGCTTGACTCCGGATACACCCTGCAGAGAGGGAAGGAGTTGTGAGAGGAACACGGTGGTGTCAGGAAAACACGGCTCAATCACTTCTAAGATTTCAAATTTAATAAAACAAAAGACACGAGTCACCATTTAGAACATTTTTTTAAAATGTGTACACAGCTCAGAAGTTGTTGCAAATAAATGAAAAGTACAGCATGAAGCTGGCTCTCCCACTTGTATTCTGACTCTGCCTCCCTCAGCTCCTACTGCCTGATTTGTTTGCTGCTCAGAAATGGGGCGAGTTTTCACTGCTCTCGTTGTTTGTTTTTATTCCTGGAACCAGTCACAGCCACATTTAGATGATGCTGTTTCAAATGAGCGATCGTGTTTGATATACTACCTGGGTTTAGCTGATTTCGACCTGACAAATACGAACTTTGTCAGCCCCGTTTAATTGCCTGTCTTCACCTCTACTGTAGTTTACTGAAAACGGTAATGTTTCCAAACAGCACACCGAAAGAGAACGAAGCATTTACAAATGTAAAGTTGCTAGGAACAACTACAACTTGTGCAACAACTTGTGCAATCAGCTGTTGAATTGGAATTTAATTCAGTTTTGCATCACTACTGCTGCTCTCAACAAATTTAGAAAATATACGGATTTTTCCATTTCACATTTCATGCCTCTCCACTTAGTGCTTAAATGCCATGACGGTGTTTCCCAGAGTTGCACCTGAGGTCTGTCCCCTTGTATCAAAACCCTAAATGTAATGCCTTTGGTATTACATTTAGGCTTTGTTGTGAATGTGCAATGGCAGCATCCTAAAACTGACAAAACCCATCTCCCTAAAATGTCATCATGTTAGTGTGAGTCAGTTGCTTATTTCTTATGCTTATTTCCTTGTAAAGGAGTAGTAAAGGAGGAAACCCAGAGCTTTAGGGTGTTCTTGGAAAGTTGTGCATTGTGGTACATTTCGTTACTCACTGTCCCTCACTGTGCGGCCGCGTGTGAAGCTGTACGGATGATGTAAGAAATCAGCGTGATGGGGAAACTGCCGTAGCCTAACACGGCCAAACACAGTACGGTTGTTGCAGCACGGTGGAGAAGCAGGTGGGAGAGGTCTATAAAGATTGAGCAAATGAAAAGGAAGACAACAGCGTGCCGGGCTGTCTGTCGTCGCCTTTGATGAGCTCGCTTCTGCCATCGGAATCGCTTGAAGCCAGCGTTGCCTGGTTACCGGGAGCAGAAGATGCAGGGATGGGAGGAGACAGAAAAGAAAGAGGGTGGGTTCATCGTGTCCAATCAGTATGCAGAGTAAACCAGTCCTCTCACTGCCATTGAACTCCAACTCAATCCCGTGTCTCGCCGTGCTCTTTAAACTGTATCTGAAGTCTGTTGGTAAGGTGATATGACAGATGATTGAGTTTCCCCGACTCGTAGTTTTTAGTAACAAGGGTTTGAATATGACTTGTACTGGATGGTACATTGGAGGTGGAAAGATGTTCGATGCGATTTCAGCATCAGGATTTCACTTTTTTAGGCTTTATATTTTGAATGGTGCCCTGGTGAGATGGGGATGTCATGATGCTTTTGTGTAACACAACATTCATAGTTGTTATGTGACCAGAATCTCCAAGCTCTTGACACCAGGCTTGACACAATAACACATACACATCTTTGTTGTTTTTATTTTGCTATCGCTGAGTTAATTGTCCTTTATGATCCTCGTGCACAATCATTTACAATGATTAATTATGATCCTCGTGCACAATCATTTACACACAAATAGGCAACATAAACGGTTCTAAATGTAATGAAAAAGAAATGATTTTCTAATTGGAATTAATTGGCTATAATTCTGTAACAGGGAGAAACACTTGAACACATTAGTCTCTAAAGACAGCTTGAAATTATTTATATCTTGCTGCCATGTTAATTAAAAAAAAAAAGTAAAATTCTTTCCATCAGTGTGATGGAATCGCCGTTATGATATTTGCATATGTTTGTGCATGTGTTTTCTTGAACTCACTGTGTTACAATACAGGTACAAGTGCCAGAAATTCCCGTCCTCATAAAAACATCATCGACATGACAGAGCTGACATCCTGGAGACTGTTGAATGAGTTTTATGTTTGGAGTAATGTTTGGCCATGTTTGGTGAATAATATCAAACACAGTAGGGATGTGGGATAATGAGTCATGGGGCGTGTTTCTTTCATTTTCTCCCCTTTTTCCTTTTTATTGGCTTCACTAGTATTCACATGGCGTAATCTGCACTTCTGGCTGTTGTTTTCAGCAGTCGAAAAAGGTTGAAAACCTGCCGAGTGAAAATGGTTGAAAGTTCATACACAGCCGTCCTACATCCACACACTGACGTATTCCGTCATCCTCTTTGTTCGGCCTCCCCTCCTAACAATGTGCAACTGCCACCCTCTGCTTGGTTTCCTTTCTGCTTCCTGAAATACAGGAAGTTGGGTGCTTGTGTCTACATCAGGTTGGAGCAAAGAAGACTGAAGAGGGTGGAACCACAGAGGTCACTGACACTGGCCCCTTAGAAAAACATTACATCACCAGGAACTAAGGAGCCAAAAGTCAATTCTGCACAAAAATAGTGAAATATATTTATAAATTAAACACAATATTTTATATGTAACTGATGTTTTTCTAGTGTTTGGTCAATGCTCAAATGTGTCACTAAGGAGTAGTGGGTGATCATTAAATCACCTTCACTAATCTTTCATTCAGCTCCATGTGTCACCTCCTCCCACATCAAGCTTGTGTGTGTGTGTGTGTGTGTGTGTGTGTGTGTTTTTGTGTGTGTTCTTGTCCTTTGAGGGCTCCTAGAGTGGCTCTCCAACACAAAAAGACAGTAGTTCAAAAGAGTCGGGACACAATGGCGGCTGGCTTGTATGCATTACGTCTAATGTACTGAGAGATGGTCTGCTCCGCCCTCAGTGTCTCGGTGTCTCAGTGACCTTTGCTCTCACTTTTCTTCCTTCTCACCCACCCACCCTTTTGGGTAATTCTCACTGGTTCCTCTTCTCACGTCCTGTCAGTCAGGTTCAGGGCTGTCACTACATCATTTTCATCTGTCTTGCCTTTCGTTCCCTCCTCCTTCCCTGCCTGTCTGTCTTTCTGTTATTATACCTTTTGAATAATCTTTATTATCATCATCCATGTCATAAATTGGCTACAGTTTTCAGTTGTTTTTTTTACCTATTGCTCTAAAGTTCAAGTGTTAAATCACACTGTGGGAGTGATTTAATAACACAGTATGTTATCAAATGGAAACAAGGCAGTGACTGAGCCAAGAAATGTTCTCTGACATCTTTCCAGGATATTAAATTAACCGACACTGGGGGCCTAAAGTTTAGGGAAAGTTCACTGTAGCGTGCAAACGAGTAGAGTAGTATTTCTGTTTTACTGAATTCAGACACATGAATAGACGCATGAATGTGATGTCTCCTGGTGTAGAGCAGGTTATAAAAACATTCAAACTCGGGTCGCTTCTCTCTTGGGAAACCTGTGCCGTGGCTTTCAGTGTTTGTATATGTGTCTGTATGTGTACAGTGACAATAAAGATCATAAAGGAGGTTAAAAACGCCACTGAACTACATTAAAAAAATCTGTTTTCAAAATTACCATCAGTGAACAAACAATTTGTGTCTGTACTAATCTTTGAACTTTAAACGCTCTTCGTCCGTGTGAATTTCTAAACATTGTGCACAAACAGCACGTGAGCTACTCTTCGTCCGTGTGAACATTGTGCACAAACAGCACGTGAGCTAGTGAACAAACAAACGTGAGCTTTAACTTTCCATTTCTCATTTTCAGATCTTCCCATGGAATATAATCCCTCAGATCATCCCCGGGCCAGTACCATTTTCCTCAGCAAGTCGCAAACAGACGGTGAGTTTTTAACTTTCTTCTCCCGTCACATTGCTTTTTCAATGTTTTTTTATTTTTAATTAAAAAAAAATACCTCAAAAATGATCAACTAGGTGAGGGCGTTACATAGCAAAGAAGAGACTTTTTACCCCAAGTGTAAATGTCAACAAAAAGTCGTCAGTGACAATTCACTGCCTCTTTTTGCTGATTTGCATTCTGTAGCCTTTTTAAGGGCATTCAGTTGAAAACCAAAGAATGTGCTCTGTATAATTATGTCTGCATTATTTAATGATAATGAAATGACTCACAAAGAACTTGTGTCTGTTGCAGAATGCCTCAGCAAAGTTACGGACTATTATGCATGTCGAGCTGCTTCAGTACAGTTCCTAAAAGCAAATTATGCAACAAAAACATTCCAGTGTTAATGATGCAGAGACGGCCCAGATATTTTCATTGAGGGTTCTTCCTGCATTTCAATTGTGTTTTCCAACCACTCTGTCCTGACATTGCTCTTTCGGTTCCCTCTTAACCACTTTTAATAATGTGACACACTTTAATTTTGCACATTTTTTCCTCATCTGTTGGCACTCATTCTGGGACATTTGGCACATTTTCATGTGGCACATCCTACGTAGAGCATCTTGGAAAATGTTTATTGACAATTCAAAGTCATTGGAGTCAGACAAAGACAAATACTGCCGAGTCAGTTTAATAAGCAACTGATTTTAGAGGATAGTTGCAGTACCATCAATCACCACTAAAGAATTAGTGGTTCAGATAAATATTAAAAGCTGGTTTATTTGTCTATTATGAGCAGCTGATTTTTCTTTTCTCTCTCACATGATTCCTGCGTCAGTGTCTCCTTGCCTATTTTCTTAACATATTGAAAAAAAAAAAGTCACTTTAGACTCCACCACAATGGGCTTCTTTGTACACACCAGTACTCCAGGATCTGTGTCATAAGCAAACGTTAGAGACAACTTGGGCTTTTGTTTTTTCAGTTGCCGTTCCCAGCAGACGAGGTAAGCACCAACGTGTCTAGTCTGGCGCTTACTTTGTGTTTGGGCTACATGCGTCACGTGGTCTTCTGTATTTGATCTGTATTGTCATGTGTTAGCAGGATACTTGCCTTCAGTGCTGAGCTGCTGGTGTCCCACCACTGAGTTACGCTGTTCTGAATATGGCTGCACAAAAATACCACATGACAGTTTTTTTTTTCTCCAAATTTACAGCTCAAGAATTTGTAAGTGATATTTAATGGGATGAAAATCACACATGCATCCCTTTATGATAAAAGCCTGATGTTTTCTAGCAAATAGTGGAGGAGCGATGTGTCTGTGAGGTGAGAGACAGATCCAACCAGGAAAAGAAGTGAGAGACAGCTTACAATGTTACTGCCCCAGTTTGCATCGTGTTATTCCTCCACACAATTACCAAAGGAGTAATGACTTAGAAGCCGTCACTGTGGTAGTCTGATAGGGATTGAAGCAAACAAACCTGAGACTGGACATTAAATGAAATTGAACCCAAAACCTTTGTCATGTCAGGTGGGAAGGCCGACAGCACTGCACTGACAAACGCGGTTTTAAGAGGGTTGGCAAACAGCTGTGTTTTTGTGTGTATTACTATGTCAAGCGCAAAAACCAACAGAATTTTTTTTTTGGGGCTTTCACTTGATGTTGATGATGTTTATTCGCACATCATTGAGTCATATTTTCATCAATGCAGTCAGTGAGATAGATAAATTGATCAGTTAGTTCAATTTTTCTATTTTGCACATGAAACGACGGATGAAAAGAGAGCGTGTGTTTAAAAGGGCTCTGCGCTTAAACAGCTTGATTTGTGTCTTAAATGCACTGTGAAATAATTGGTGACATCAACTCCTGAAGTTTATCTGAAGATCAGTCAAAACCTCATGAGGAACTCAAGAAACCCTGAGTGAATGCTGCTCCCTGCCTGCCAGGGTTGTGTACTGCACTAAAAAGTTTCACTCTAATCCTGACTCTCGTATTCACGTTTGTTCTTTCAGTTCGAGAAAAGAGGAAGAGCCTTTACATCAACCATGTAAGTAGAGACAAAATGAAACTTAAGAAAGATGAAAAAATTCGATGTTAGCGCTGCTCTAACGATTATTTCGATGTCTTGTACTTCTTTTTGCAAGTTTACTCACATTTCGGAAAATAAGGTACAGGTTCTAATACTGCATGGACCCCCACATGCTCATTTGTAGTTGGTGTTGCATTTAATGCTGCATTATATATAAAATACACAGTTGTATGCACAATAAAGTATGTCCATGTTCTCCCTTGGAGATGCTCCTCGTCATAGACGTCAGTCTCCCACGTTACGTAAAAATATGAGTTTGTAGAATTTCACCGGATCCAAATAGCACAGCAACCTAATCAGGTGTGTGTGTGTGTGTGTGTGTGTCGTCTCCAGCTAAATCCAGGTCCCGTGAGACGGAAGTACAGCTCATGTTCCACCATATTCCTTGACGATAGTACTGTCAGTCAGCCCAACCTAAAGTACACCATCAAATGGTAGCTACACTTTCAGCTTCAAATGCATTTATTTATTGTGAAAAAAAAAATCAAGTTTACTCTGAGATACAATATCACCGTCTCACCTTCTTATAATTTTCTTTCTTCTGTCTCTACAGTGTAGCAACCTTCTTATATGCAGTATATTTTTTTCTTCTGTCTCTACAGTGTAGCCCTCGCCATATACTACCACATAAAGAACAGGTTTGAGAATTACCTGCAGTTATGTCTTAGAGCAAATATCATTAGTCCCTTGTTACACAATATGACTTTTCCCTTATTTGTTTTCCAGGGATGTCGACGGAAGAACGGTGTTGGACATTTTAGATGAAAAACTACATCCGTTAACAGTAAGATCTGCAATAATTAATTAGTTACTTTGAATAGAGCCACAGCAGAAAAAAAAGAAAAGAAAAAGAAAAAGTGAATATTATCGGTCGTGCTTCCTGTTTATGTTCCAGTGTTGACTTTTGTTTTCGGTTTCACTGTCTCCGTCTCTGTTTACACACCACACCTCTGTTGTTTCTCTTTGTTTACCACACCACAGAGATGTAAAACAGAATGGCCTTTAATCCTGATATGTTAGAGAAACAACAGCGATGTGGGCGTAGCCTCTCTCTCTTTAAACCGTTATCTAAGCATACATCATCAGACCATGTTTTCATACCTAGGTAATGATGCAACTGGAAGACAGCGTGGTGTACGTTGCCCTCACAAGTTCAACCCTTTATCTTCATTTCACTGCAGAAGTCCGAGGTTCCTCCTGATTACGACAAACACCACCCCGAGCAGAAGCAGATCTACCGCTTCGTCAGGACGCTGTTCAGTGCTGCACAGCTGACCGCCGAGTGTGCGATTGTCACGCTGGTGAGTGTCTGCCTTCACTGACCGTTCACTCGTGTTTCAAGGTGTGCACATGAACGCCTTCATTCTCTACTCATCAACTCTCCATCTGCACTTCTGCACTCTGGATGACACGTGTGTGCCCGCAGTCTGCGAAGAGTAAGATTAGAACAAGTTGCCTGGTATTGTGTTGCTCTCTCCTCCCAGACACATGTGTGGACCGTGTGGGTGGTTGTTATTTTTGTGCCCGGGCTGGTTAAAGTGCAGACACACAGGGGGTCTCCAGCAGAAATGTTCTTACAAGACAAACGCAAACAGAACACTGGCTGTTACATGAGCCGCCTCCTGTTGTCACCGGAATAATGTCTGGGATGCTGGTGGTAACTGAATATGTCTGTCGAAGGCTAGTTACCGTAGCTGTTTTCTTTATTTTAGGGGTGGTATTTAGTACTGAACCTGAACTGGTCTTCTGTGTCAGTCATATGTGCCATGTTTAAAAAGTGAAGGGATTTTTTGAGCAAAGAACTTCTGTAGGTAGTGTCATTTTTTTTAACACATTCATGCATTTATAAAGGCTTTTTTTTCCCACTCACCCTGCTATAACAACAACATATTACTGAAAGTAAAATAGGTGAGTATTATGTATACATTTAAATACTGTAAAATGTTACTAAGTAGTATTCTCTCTCTCTTTTTCTTTTCATTTTAATTTGTATTTGCAGTCGCAGCATTTTGTTGTCAGGGTGTGTTTGCTGACCGTGCTCCCTTTCAGAGGCGTTGTTGTGTTTGTATGTATGCTTGTCTCTCTCCTGCTCTTGCCTTTATATCACTCAGCATGTGGGCTGCTTCCCATTTCATGCGCGAGCTCTTATGTGCTGTCTGTTGGCAGCCTGTGGGCCACGACTGAGAGAACTGCCGCGCAGGCAGTGGAGAAGGAAGCAGCTGTGGGAAAGAGACAGAGAGAGTGGATGCGCATGGATATTTCATGAAGAGCTCACTGGAAGATTTTTATCATCCTCTGACAGCTCATTATTTTGGTTTTTACCTGGAGGAGTGGGAGGTGGGAGAATGCAGAACAGTTAAACAGCAAGCTGATGCCAGAAGGCGCTGTACGATGTAGGAGACGAGGGAGAGAATAGAAAACGAGGAAAGCGTGTCTGGCGATTGTGTCGTTTCCTGGCTTCTTTTAGGTCATCTAACAGAGATCCTGGTAATGATGTAAACAGCCACACCTGCTAATTCTGTTTTCAATCTGTGCCCCAGGTGTATTTGGAGAGGCTCCTGACATACGCCGAGATCGACATCTGTCCAGCCAACTGGAAACGAATTGTGCTCGGAGCCATCCTCTTGGCCTCCAAGGTGTGGGATGACCAGGCGGTGTGGAATGTGGACTACTGCCAAATCCTGAAGGATATCACTGTGGAGGACATGTGAGTCACCAGGACAGTGTACATGTTACTGATACAGCATGTAGGCTGTAGGTATCGGATCCGACGGGCTCTGGTTGTTGTTGTTGTTGTTGTTGTTTTATTACTTCTTATCCTCTGTTCTCGTCTTCGTCCAAGTTTGTAGACAGCAGTCAGGGTCTCTCTGCTCAGAATAGCCTGTGGTTTTAGGTCAGGATTTAAACCAGGGTTCAAAGTTTAGAGTCACATTTGCAGTGGCCAGGATCAGCCTGTGATGACCTTTGCCCTTTTTGTTAGTCCCTGTATACTAAAAGGTCATGACAAATACAGTAAGAGATTCTTTCCCATCAGACCGTCAATGCAGATTAATATAAATACATAGAAACTTGATATATATTTTCTCTTATAAGTGAGGTGATGTAGGGCCTAGGGTCTTTATTTTGAATATCACATGTACAGCTGCTATTTTATAAACTCTCTTATGAAATCATCACTTTCAGACATGGCTAATGGACAGTTAAGACAACACAAAATAATTTAGATTATGATAAACTCCTACTCTGCCCCTCACATTGTGTTCGTCCGTTTTAAATCACCAAGAATGACCGGTTTGGTTCAGGTTTGACATGACGCTGTATACGTGCTGCCACCGTTGCAACCTTTGACCCATCATAAATTCACACACTCTAGAACAGTAGCCATGCGCTCCTGTTCCTGGGTGCAGCTGACACTGGTTGCAGCATGAACAGTGGCTATGAGTTCATTTGTTTTTTGTTTTTTTTGTTGTGTGTCAAGTCCTAGACCGAGAACGTAGCGTCAACGTCCCATCTTCTTTTCTCGAGCGAGAATCACGTGACGAACACACGAGTGCAGCTGCATCTGTCAACGTCCCATCTTCTTTTCTCGGTTAAAAAGGAGCGTGAATCATGTGACGAACACACGAGTGCAGCTGCATCGGTGCCAAGGCGAGATTAAAAGGAAGCAGCGCTATTAGGCAGAGTTTGGGTAAATGGTGGAGTCCAAAAATAGCTCATCTGTTGCTGCACGAGTGTGAGGGTGCATGTTTGGGGTTGGGGGGAGGGGCTGGAAAGAAGACACGGATTGTGCTTCTTTTGCTGGTAACAATGTGAAGTGAATTAATCACGGCTGAAGAGAGACAGATGAAAGCAGCTGTCATCACACTGTGGAAGAGATCACAGCGCTGCCGGGCATGAGGCGGCGCATGACAACGGCGGTTTGATAATGTGGGAGTAATATTCTTTCTTACACATGATGGTCAGGGCCTCAGCTGCTTATATTTTATTCCCTTTCATTGAGATGGAAGGCTTGTGTGTGTGTGATGCTTATGCTGGGAATTGTTTTCCCAGTGTTGTTCATTGATAGTTTGCACATAAAGATAAAACT